AAACTCTTCCAGATCATTAGTTATTTAATGAAACAAGAAATCTTTCACAACCAACTTAAAATAGCTGAGTTACAATTATATTTGAAGAAGGGAAAATTTCTAACAAGTAATCCATCGTTTAAATTTTTCCTGTTTTCTAAAAATATTTTGAAACTGAATATTTTACAATAGAATATACAAATATTTTTTTGTTAGTAAAATTTTTGAATGCAATTAATAAGAATTTAAAAAATATTTATTCTACTGAGCACCTTGTCACTAGAAATAATGCGGATTTGTTTGAAAAACTCTAATCCACACTTAAAATTCCATATAAAAATCATCCTTAGTCTTTCATATTATAGATCTTAAAAGTTTTTTTAACAAAATCTAGAGCACAATAGAGTCACAGGAACTTTTTTAACGCTGCAATAAAATTACTTAAACAATTAAAAGCAGTTTATCAATGTTTCGTCGTTTAAAAGTCTATTAGATATAATTTGACGAATCTCACCAGAAATTGTTGTTTTTCCTTTTCCATTATTATTAAGAATTTTTTCAAACCCCTTAAATGAATGATGGTAAATAATGTTAATGCCTCCTTTTTTGTCCTAAATAACAATTTTTTTTTTTCATTTTATTTTTATGTGCCCAAAGAAGACCTAACGGTCTTGTCACAGAGCACCGCGGAACTGCATTTAACTAAAAAGTTCACGCCTCCTTCCTTACCGTGACGCGAAAATATGTCCAAAGCTCGTTTCAAACTTTTTATGCAGGAAACATTTAATTAGCCAAATTCTTGCTCAAACAAGCCTCGAACTGGTTTGGAAAAACTCCAATCTAGTTCGGAAAAACCGCAAATTGACTTAAATCTAAAAAATTATCAGTTAACATTGAAAAATTAAAATGAACTTTTATCCAAATTTAATCTCATTCATGCATAAATGTTAAGTTAGCTACTTTATCAATAAATCTTTAAAGTTTATTGAAAATATACGGATAAATCAAACAAATTTATTTCTATTCTAGGTGTTCTGATTTAACATGGAAAAATCATTTTGAAATCTCTATGTAAAAGTATTTAGAAATTGAAATTTTTATTCATAGCAAAACTTTGTCATAGAATATGCATTATTTCAACTTTATTACAAATTCATTGTTATATTAATTATGCAAACATTGATTAAGGTAAATTAAGCTGGTAAATTAGGCTAAATTAAGCTAGAATCTTTCTAAAGTAGTGCTAAAGTAAGTTAGAATCTCTCTAATAGCAAAAAAAGCAACGTGCACGTCTCATTATTTTTCGATGCTCATCTTTTCTGCTCATGCTCATTCTTTCTGATTTATTATTGCATTCTTGTATTCTATTCATGTATTCTACAAAGTAGAGTGCTCAATGTTCTTAAAAGAACAGAGCAATTATAAAATAGTGAAAATTCGCTTATCAAAATTTTTTTTTATTTAACACTGTGTTTCATCAATAAAGACTCATCAGAAATCAGATCTGAATTATTTAAAATTGCTTAATTACAAAGATAAGGTAAACATCTTAAAAAACTCACCAAAAGTAAAAGGAAAAAACACTTATATCAACAAGGATTATTGTGCAAAGACGGTATAGTTAAGAAAGGAATTACGGATGGAAATGGAAAAAGTTCGAGAAAGTGTGAAATTTGCGTATATATCATACGACAGGTTGATCGTTCGTGGTTTGTCTCCAAAAGTAAAATAATAATATATATTTCTTTTAGCTTAACGGCGCATTCTATCTTTATTTGTAATAGTTTATTTAATTTTTTGTTCTTATTTAACTTTTAGAAATTAGAAACATTTTCTCTTATAACATGAATATTAATGCTGAAAATGCCGACACTAATGATAATAACCTTGATAACTTTATTTAAAATCTTTTAAAAAGTGAGTACTATTCTATATCTAAATCTACTTAATATCTTTGTGAGAATAATATTAAAAACATTACTCCATAATTTTAATCTTTCACTTAAATCAGGTTATATTCCAGACAAATTAAAAAAATAATACGTATTGACAAACCTGGTGATGAAACTAATATTTCAAACTACAGACATATTTTAGTCTTGCCCTGGTTTTCTTAACTAGTTGAACGCATTATGTACAACAGACTTTATAAATGTTTAACTGAAAATAATTTTCTTTACTGTAATCAATATGGTTTTAAAAAAAACCATTCTACTGACAATGCAATAATTGAATTGGTTAAACATATGACAAATGGCTTTTAATTGCTATACTTTCGGTTTTTATTGATTTGTCCAAAGCTTTCGATGCAGTAAATCGTGAGATACTTTAAAAAAAAAATAGAAAGTTATGGTGTTAAAAAACAAAATCTTTCTTTGTCATGGAAATACCATATTAAATATATAGAAAGTAAGATCGCAAAAGGTATTTTCATGTTATATTGAACAAAATCGTTTTTTAATAACCAATCTTTAAAATAAGTTTTTCTCGTTTATACACAGTCATTTTTCTAACTGTAACGTTGCCTTGAGTAGCACTAATCACACTAAACTCAAAAAAGTTAATTGCAAACAAAAACGTGCTTGCAATATTATATTTGGGGCAAACAGGATTGCACATTGCGAACCTCAATTACGTCAGCTACGAGCTTTAAATATCTATAAGATTAGTATTCATCAAGTAATTTTATTTATTTTTAAAGCAAAACGTGGGTTATCTCCAGTAACATTTCAATCTTACTTTAATGTTATTTATTTTTAAAGCAAAACGTGGGTTATCTCCAGTAACATTTCAATCTTACTTTAATGTTATTTATTTTTAAAGCAAAACGTGGGTTATCTCCAGTAACATTTCAATCTTACTTTAATGTTATTTATTTTTAAAGCAAAACGTGGGTTATCTCCATTAACATTTCAATCTTACTTTAATGTTATTTATTTTTAAAGCAAAACGTGGGTTATCTCCAGTAACATTTTAATCTTACTTTAATGTTATTTATTTTTAAAGCAAAACGTGGGTTATCTCCAGCAACATTTCAATCTTACTTTAATGAAATCTCTTATAAATATCCAAAAAAATTTTCAGTGAACAACTTTGTCATTCCCTTAAACCCTCTTGAATTATGCTCGTACCAAATTCAAAATCGGGGATTTTTTGTTTAGAAGAATTTTCTTCATATTTTTAATGAAAAACAAGACTTTGTTTTAAGCTGCACTTTGAAAAGTTTTAAGGCTGATTCAAAACTGCATTTACTAAACATGGACTTCGATCTACTAGATTTCAAATATCTTTTTTAAAAATAATTTAAAAGTTTTGAATTAAAAAATCATTTAATTTAATTTTTTTTACTGTTTTTGTTTAAAATTTTGTTGACATTTTTTAATCAGCCCTAAATACTTATTTATATTGCATTATTTTTAATAAAGTTTAACACAAGTTTTTGTGAATAATAACTTTCACGATTTTTGTATTACTTAAGTAATACAAAAGTGAAATAATCGTGATTTATTATTCTGCTAGAAGATTGTTAGCAAATATTTGTTTTATTGCTGAAGTTTTGAAGTTACTTATACTGTTTTATTTCATCACTTATTAGTTATCTAATTTTTTAAAAACAACTGAAAATAACAATGAGGCAGGGCTCGGTGATAAGACAAGTCTATCTTCTTCTTGCTCCGGCCAGGATTTTCGATTAATTTAATTTCTTTTTTGTAGTTTTTTAACAAACCCCAACAAAATAAATTAATAATAATAAAAAAAAAAACTCAATATATATGAAAATACTGTACGTTTGGACGATGCAGGATTGAAAAGTTACTGTGAAAAAACCGAAAAAGCAAAGGTTAGCAAAAACTGACTAAACTTGGACAATGGTATAATCAGAATTTATGGAAACTTTAGTCGAAACAAATATTATGGTTGGTTGAGTCGAAGTTTAACCTTAGAGTTTCAAATAATAAACAAAACTTAAAAAGGCTAATTGGTAAGAAACTATAAACAATGTAAACTAATGGAACGGTAAAATATTGGGGTATTAAAGGTTTGATGGTTTGGTGTTCTTTGCAGTATTTTATGATTTGGGACCACCCTATCGCATTAAATGTATACTCGAGAAATGCAAATATAGTTCAGTTCTGCAGAATAAAATTATAAATTTTGTTTATGAAATATGCCTCTACTTGGACGTTCTAATAGAGCTATGATCCCAAAAACACATCAAAACTCAATAAAGTATGGTTCAATACAAACAAAATCTCTGTAACACGATGGTCTGCTTAACCTTTTAACCTAAATCCTATTGAATATAAATGGAAACAACTTGATGATAAAGTACGTGCGTATGGTAAGTTCAGAAATGCTCAAAAGCTGTATAAGGAAAAAGTACCTGGTCACAAACAAAACAAATTGACAAGCTTTCGAGTCTATGCCTCATAGATTTACTGAGGATTTTAAGAACAATGAAAATGTTATCAATTACTAATCTGATATGGTTTTAGTTGTATACACTTTCAAAAGATCCTTAAGTTTTGGAGTTGAAATAGTAGCATATTCTATTTCATTCTTTATTATAATCGGTATATTAGTGTTTCAGTATATATTTACCTAATACGCAATAGCTTCTTACTTAAATTAAAATATTTGTGTGTAAAATCTGAAATGATAATTAGCATACTGTAGTGTTTTTATAAATTTATTAAAGTAATAAAACGTTTTTTTAGTTTTATATATATGATATGTATACCATGAATTTTATTAAGTTCAGAAAATGGATTTTAAACAATGTTAAAAACATTGTGCATTACTTAGTAATGCAGGTTTATTTTTAGATTATTAATTATATTATTAATGTTATTAATAAATAAATATTAATTATATTATTAAGGTTATTAATGCAGGTTTTTCTTTAGAAAAAATTAATTATGTTTTTTAAATAGTGAATTACTCTAATCAACCAATAAACACATTTTTGTCATCTTAAGATTATTTCAAAGGAGTGAAAATATAAACAACAACAGCGCAACTAAAAATTCCAACTTAAACATTGCATAAATTAGCCTGTAACTTAAACATTGCATAAATTAGCCTGTAACTTAAACATTGCATAAATTAGCCTGTAACATTTCATAAATGTAACAAGTTTCCGTAACAAAATAAAAAACATCAAAAAAATACAAATTGAAAGCTAAAAACACTATGAGACAGCAAAAATGGAAACATTTTTCGAAATCACAACTGCAATTTTAAAAAGTTTGAAAGTTTTGAAGTAGTAAAAAACGAGCCTTGAAAATTATGACAGAGTATACGCCACCAATCCAAATCCAAACAGAACAAGCTGGATTTTTTTTCATTGAGTATAATAATTTGTCTAAAATTTGAATACAAAAAAAAAAAAAAAAAAATCAATTAATTTCCAATTTAGAACTAAATAAACAATTAAGTATAAACTTAAAAATAGATTTACTTTGCGTTAAATACATTTATTTTAACAAAGACACTATTCAGCTATTCAGTAACATAAAATAAACACAACATTGCGGTGAAAATTTAGGATAAACTTTATAATAAACGATAAAGTTTAAAACAATGTTTATATTAAAATAGAAATAAAAAACTTAAGTTTATATATATACTACATTATTTACCTTAATACTATTTCCTTAATGGTATCTTTACAGATAGATAATCTCTCCAGACACTAAACATGAGTAGTTATTTTAAAAATGCTTATAAAAAAGCTTGTGACAGACTAAGACTAATTAAAAAAGTTAGATATTTGTTAACAATTCTTGCAGCAGAACACATTTATCAGTTAACTATTATACCAGTTTTAACCTACTGTAAAAAAGTAAACACAAAATAACTAGTTTGGCAAAATCTCATTGCATCTTGTCGATAAACAAAGCAACCCGTTCTTGGTTTATCATGCTTAAACATTACTAACTACTTTGAAGTTATTAACCATTTAAAAGCAACAAGAAATAACTGCACCCTAATTAAAATTTATGTATGTATGAATTTATTTATGTATATATATATATATATATATATATATATATATATATATATATATATATATATATATATATATATATATATATATATATATATATATATATATATATATATATATATATATATATATATGTATATATATATGTATATATATACATACATCTATATATATATATACATACATTTATATATATATATACATACATTTATATATATATATATATATATATATATATATATATATATATATATATATATATATATATATATATATATATATATATGTGTGTGTGTATATCTATATATATATATATATATATATATATATATATATATATATATATATATATCTATATATATATATATATCTATATATATCTATATAAATATATATATATATATATACATATATATATATATATATATATATATATATATATATATATATATATATATATATATATGTATATGTATTTATATATATATATATATATACATATATATATATATATATATATATATATATATATATATATATATATATATATATATATATATATATATATATTTATACATACATCTATATATATATATATATATATATATATATATATATATATATATATATATATATATATATATATATATATATATATATATATATATATATATATGTATATATATATATATATATATATATATATATATATATATATATATATATATATATATATATATATATATATATATATATATATATATATATATATAAGCTCACCATCCTAGTTTTATTCCAATCTTCATTGGAAGATTTTCATAATTTTTGGTTAAATTCTTTACAAATTTATAATCAAAACCAGGAGTTATTGATATTTAATTTACAAAATGATCCAAAATATGTTTTAAAATGAGATTCTGTATATGATGTGAACATCCTAAATATTCTGGTTTAGTAAAGCCTCTGGTTTCCATTTCATTTTGTATTTTTACAACTATACCATTTAATTTTTCCTATGTTTACTGCTGTTGTTTCACATATAACCATTGTTATACATTTCCATGCATCAAAATCATTTAGCAGTTTTTTTAAAGCTCTAAAAGTATCATGGAATTTTCCATAATAATTCCAATAATTGTTTTTTAGCATTTCATTTAATGAATTTAATGGTTTTTCAATAAAAGGTAGATAAATTCTTGATCTTATACGTTTTTTAGATAAAACTAAATTTTTTGTCCAAACTCTTAAATATTTGTTAACAACAATTTTGCTATATCTATTTTACATATTGATAATATATATTAGGAGAATTCTATGTTTTAATATTATTTTTATAAAAATACTTTACTTTAAAAACTTACTGTATTAAATATAAAATTAATTAAAAAGACATTGAAATTCAAAAAACGCATAGCATTGATTAAGACATAAGACACATAAGTTGTAACTATTTTTTGTATTTGTTTAATATTTCAGTTCAGAGAAACATATTGCTGAAGGACAAAAAGTTTTACTTTAGGTTATACTTTTTCTCTTATTTAAAATCAAATACTTCAACAATAGTCATTCAAACAACACAATAATTTTAATAACATAACTTAATTGTGTGTGTGAGTGGTGGACATTTTTTAAATATAGTTGATATTACTATGAAATTTTAATATTACCTATCAATTTCCAGGGTTTTTAAACTATGGCTTAACTGTGACAAAAGTTAAAAAAATCATAAACCTAACATAATAACATATATTTGTATATATATATATATATATATATATATATATATATATATATATATATATATATATATATATATATATATATATATATATATATATATCATTTGATCATATATATGTCAAATCTTGTGTTTATATTAGATGCAAAGCTCAGTTAATGATGTAATTTCTATTTAGTTGATATAAATTAAACATAATTGTATTAAGTATTTCCCATAGTTTTTTTTATTAGTCCTACGCCCATAGTTTTATTGGAACAGATTTAATATATTTGTTAGTTTTTATTGAATTTTGTTTAAACTATTATTTAATATTCAAAAAAAAAGAACTAAAAAAGAGTTTTTACAAAATTAATTTTTTTAAAGACTATTACAATTGACAATTACAAATCTATACAGTAGATGTTCAGAATTTGAAAAAAATGTCGTGATTTGTATTTAAAGAAAAAAATTTTTTGACACTTACAAAACGCTGTTCTGCTATCGCTGTTGGATTGACGAAGTCAAAAACAATAAAATCTGAAGCTACCATGTTACTTTCTATTTTTCCAATAGATTGTTTAGTTATAAATAAACTGTGTAGTTATTTTGATAACGATTAATAATATTTATTTTGTAAATAATTATTTCTGCTCTTATTGCCATTGATAACTACATAAATGTACCGAAGTTTTCATTAAATAAAGGTCGATTTAAATTTTGTTCCATTACCGCATTTCTTAAATAAATATCTTTTTACTAAGAAGAGCTAAATACGAACTCAAAGTTACAAAGTTTTTAATTTTTAAATCAGAGAAATAGGTAGAAGAACATAGTTAAAAAAAAATTAAATAATAAAACCTAGTCTAAATAGCTAAAAATAGGCTTGTAAATAATAAAACCTCGTGTAAATAGCTAAAAAAAGGCTTGTACATAAGAAAACCTAGTTATATTTTCACTTATCGCAGCAGGATAAATAAGTTTTTTAAACGTTCTAAATATGTATAGCGAAGTCGAATGAATGATGTTCTTTAGTATGAAAAAAATTTCTAAGAAAAACTTTTTATTAAGACGCCATTAATATTTATCAAAATAATGCTTTTCAAAACAAGTAAAAATAAGTTTTGTTTTGTTTTATATCATGTGATAACTAAAAATCTGGACAAAATTAGAAATTGTATAACTTTTTATCGGAATGATGAATTTTAATAATTTAAAAAGTATAATAACAAAAAATATCTAAATAATAAAATTAAAAAAAAATTATAAGTTTTTCATGCCATGACGACGAACGGTGTCTACTCTTGTAAATGTTGCCACAGCTGGCTGACGTAGACGTCCTATGCTGATTCTCTTAATTAAAAACTCGATCTACTTTTCAAGTTTACCTAGATTTTCAGCTTGCCAGTTTTTATTATACACTGATCTCTTAAGTTCAGACCAAAAAGCTTCAATTGGACGTAATTCTGGCACATTAGCAGGGTTTTGCAATTTCAGTACAAATTCAATATTTTTAGCTTTTAGATAACCTTACACTTTACGCAAATGATGTGACGAAGCTTGCTCAGGCCAAAGGACAATATTGTCATTTTTGTGATTTTTTTCAATGAATTTCTTTAATCTAACAAGACATTTTGAAATATAAACATCTTCATTGACTGCTTGATCTGACGGAGCAATGTACAACTGAGAGATTCGTTTCGCCGAAAATGCAATCTAGACAAGTAATTTTGGCTCAAATTTGTCTTTTCTTTTTAACTTTACATCATTTGATGCTGTATTTATGTCAGAAGAATAGAGTCCAGCATTTCCAGAAATGTTGGTGTTGCTCAAATAAAAATACGATTCATCTTCAATAATAACTACTTTTTTCCTAAAAATTGAAACCAATCAACGGCACTTTGAACGAACAGCTGCTTTTGAGTCGGTGTTCTTTTAGATGTTTTAGTTTTTTTAAGATAACGAATACTAGTTTTTTTGTGAATAATTTTGCATATGTACGGTTGTACTACATGGAATCGTTATGCAAGACCAGCTATGAAATACCACCCTTTTGATCAATCAATTTTTTAAGACACTTTATCTCTTTTGCAGACATCTTTTTTGCTTTGCTGCCACTTCCAACTTTTCTTTCTGGTCTTATATTATTCTCCTTTCTTTAAAATATATTATAAATAATAGTTTTTGGCATGCTCTCCATTCGGAAATGATTTACAATAAAGCTTTTATTCTTATCTGGATGCAAATCCAAAAATGTGTACACTTGTTTTTTAAGGTAGTCTTTGTTGCATTTCTTTTTTTTCCGTTTTTAATTATTACTAAATAAATTTTTTTTTTAATAATACATTAAGAATTAAGTTTGTAACAAAATAGAAGTGATTGCAATTATATTATATTATTCCTTCATATTATAATATTTACTTAAACATTTTCCAGATTTTTAGTTATCACATGTCAAACATACATACATGAATACACAAATACATACATACATATAAACTGTCAATGATATATACATACATTCATACACACATACATACATACATACATACATACATACATACATACATACATACATACATACATACATACATACATACATACATACATACATACATACATACATACATACATACAAACATACAAACATACATACATTCATACATACGTATATATGCATACATACTAGGGCGGGTCATTTTTCATGTTATTACAATAAATGTTTAGAGTATATGAATTTTTAATGTGTTGTCCCTTATGTAAAACTAATGCAAAAAAAAAAAATGAATAATTTTAATTTTTAGGTTTTTAAATTTTGACCACAAAAACCGAGGTTTTGGTATAAAAATAGGATATACGCGATTTGCCGCAACCTTTTGCCGGTTATTCAGATTGACTCAAAAACATATTCAATCGAATCCTCAATCCCAAAAACCCTTTGTTAGACACGTAGAAAGTAATTTCGGCTTAAAAACTTATTAATTTACAAGTTTACAAAGATTGTTATTTTGGTATACTTTTTTGTATTATCTTGCATAACAATATAATATGACTGTAATGTAGAAAATTTTTTTTAACAGATTCCTTAACCGCCACACCAAATACTGTCAAATTGAAACATAAAAAATCATTTATAAGTATATTTTATGAATTTACTTGATTATACTAAAGTTCGAACCTATTATTTAAAAAAGCTTAAGTAAATTCTGTTTAGATTCTAAAACAGGTTGCTCTCTGTGAGCTATTGTTGCTTTTATAAACCCATCCCGCCTTTCTTGTCCGTAAACTATACCAGAAGCTCTTGTAACTTCCTTCACAAATACTTTTTATGGATTATCTGTGTTCAGGGAATTCTGGAACTTCCATCGGGATTTCTAAGAACTTAATAAGTTCTTCTTTTCTAATCATGTGAACAAAGGTTCACACGATTAATATCAGTACTTCAATCAATCAGTTCATAATTAGTTTCAGCATTGGTGTTAATTTTTAAAATTTTTTTTGATCTAACGGCAGTATTTTTATAAGAACTTAAATTTATTAATGAAATTATTGTCTTCACTGCAAACGTTCTTTCTTCTCTATTTTGCTACGAAGTAGTGCTTGAAGTATGGATTCATTGTGAGTATTCCAGGTAGAGCAACAAAATAGGGTATAACTGTTTTGTGAATATTTAAGTTCATTGTTTTAATAAGTTCCAGCTGTTTAAAAATAGGTTATGGTCGGTTTGTTCATTTTTGTTTTACCTAAACATTTTTTATTAATAAAATTATCCATACACACACAAATAAAAATTATCAAAGTAAATATAAAAAGTTCTTATCTTAACTTCAAACAATAATTTTGAGTATACACCAACGCAGAACTGTAGAAGGTGTTTTTAAATTGTCAGCATTGTTTCCATTTAGTCCATGTTGTAAACACCAGATTCTTGCTAAGTTAAACAGCGTGCATGATTTTGGGGACCAAACTGAGTTTCTTTTAAATTGTCTTGCATTTATTTATCTTTAATACCCGTTATAGAAACCTTTTATCACTACATAAATTTTTTAAAGTACCTTCATTGATATCTAATAAATCAATTTCAATATCTAATAAATCAATTTCAATATATATTATTGAAAATGTTTGAGATCATTGGCAATAGAGTCAGGTTTACCAATATTGTGAGCAGGGCCGTTCTGAAGAGGTTTTTTTTTTTTTTTTTTTTTTATTATATATTTTTTCTTTTCTGATTAACATCGTATAATATTATTACAATGCACGTATATATATGGAATTTCATAAATAAAATATAAAAGTATATACATTACATCAAAATTAAGTTAAATCAGATAGGGGCTCAAAGAAGATAAGGATAACATTACGTTATCGCAATCTTTTCATAGAACCCGTAGGTACAAGTTTAAATAAAACAACGTAAGAATAAATAGTTCGTATAAAAATATAATAATAACAATGTTACCATTAAAAAGTCAAGACAAGGTTAAATTAATCAAAAAAGTAAAAAGAAAAAACTTTATCTTAAGTTCAAATTTTAAAAATTTCTTTTTTTAATTGAAACTTAAATGAATTTAAAGGCTTCACCATAAATTTAAATTCCTTTTGACAGTCATTCCATAATTTAGATCCTCGATAAGATATACAAAATTCTGAGAGTTTATTACATTTCAGAGGCAATTTAAAGTTTTGATTTCTATTTGATCTTAGACCATACTTTTCATTTGAATTTATTTCAAACTTATCTTTGAAGTTTGCTGGCAAAAGGTTGTTATAGTATCTATACATAAAAATTAGATGCTGATAAATATTTCAAATATATCCATCATTTTGATTTTCATCAAATATATCCATCATTATCTCTCATAAGAGGTTTTGCATGTTCACGTTTATGTTTACAGTATATAATACGGCAAGCGTGTTTTTGGAGCCTATAAATTTTTTGAAGTTTTGAAGTTTGCGTACTTGCCCATGATATATTTGCATAATTAATAAAACAGTGTATCAGTCCAAAGTATATTAATTTGAGACTTAACATATTGACGTATGGTCTAACCATATACATTACGCCAATAGTTTTGGTAACTTTTGAATGTATGTAATTTATATGGGGAAGCCAGGATAAATTTTCATCGACAAGGATTCCGAGGAACTTTATACTTGCGTGCTTTTTAATTATTGTATCATTTAAGTACAGTTCGCGCAATTTAAGAGGAATGTTTAATTCTTGTGTTTTTTTATGGAATAGGGTATAGTTGGTTTTCTCAACATTAAGTGTGAGTTTGTTAGCTTTAAACTAACTATTTACTTTATTCAATTCTATGTTCATATCTGTATAAAGATGTTTAATATGATTATTGGTAAGAAATAAATTAGTATCGTCTGCAAACATTATTGAGTTCAGTTTTAATGATGCATTACAAAAGTCGTTTATATAGATTAAGAAGAAGAGCGGACCAAGGATTGATTCTTGTGGAACTCCGCAAACAACATTTAATATTCCGGATTGCACATTATGAACATATTGCTTTCTATCAGTAAGAAAACTTTTAATCTAGAAATAGATTGTATTAACTATACCATAATGCTTAATTTTTTGTAAGAGAATGCAATGGTCGACTGTATCGAATGCTTTAGATAAATCTATAAATACTCCTAAAGTAAATTTGTTATTGTCAAACCAATCAGTTATTTGGTTGACTATTTCAATAATTGCATGCTCAGTTGAGTGATTTTTTTGAAATCCGAATTGTTTTGGGTAGAATAAGTTA